GGCGCCCGCCGGGCGGCCCCCCCCGCCGCCAGCGGCTCTCCCGCGCAGAGGCAGCCCAAGCCGGGCCGCTTCCCGGTCCCGCGGCACTGTGTGAGATTCGGCACACGAATCTCCGTGTTTTACCTCAGAATGGTGGCCTGGCCGCTGATCCTCAGAGTCGCTCCCCGTGCCTACCCCAGCCCCACCGAGAAAGCAGCACCTTTAGGACTGCCAACGCGCTCAAGTGTTCCCCGAATTATCCCTGAAAACAGCTATAAACATCGGTTGAAAGACTACAGGGTCACCAAAACTACATGTATTTTTATTCCCCTGCTGCATGTTGCTTACGCTGCTCTAAGGATCTTGGCTCGTTATGGGTTTGCTTATCTTCAGCACAGCTATACCAAACTATGTGCAAATTAATTAAATTACACTTTCCAAGATAGGGCAGCAGCAAATTTATGAGGACCAGCCTGTGCCATGCAATGTAGGCGTAAAGTTCAGTGGTGAATGGGATTTTTTTCTCCAGTGACAGAATAAAATAGAACTATATATATATATGTGTGTGTGTGTGCATGCGTATATATATATATATTTTTTTTCCTTTCAGTGCTATGCTAGTAGTTGCTGTTTCTGAAGAAGGAAGTGTATCACGTTGAAACTGTGGTTGCACTGTTGACTTTACATGTGGAAAATTACTCCTCAAGTGCCCGGCCGTTGCTCCACGCAGGAATCTCTGCAGTTACCAGCCAGTTATGGGCTTTAGAGCTTTGGAGTCCCTGCAGTTGTGGCAGCAAGGCCGTGGAAAGGAAAGGAACTAAAAAAACCAAGTCCCGTTTGCCCTGGGGAGAAATGATCTGTGCAGGGGTCTGGTCTGTTGCAGGATCTCTAAACTGATAAGGCTGAAAATCGCAGGCGGAGGGTTCAGCCGATCCAGTTAAATGCATCGTAGGAGCGTTGAGCACATTGCTTCTGCGCGATGAAGCCCCTGCCGTGTTAGATGTGTGTATTTCATCAGTGACTTTGTGGTTTGGAGGCTCTCAGGAATAAGTGAAAACTGTCTTGGAATTAAATCCATCTGGGCAACGTGGAGCCATCGCAACGCAACAGAAAAATATAATAGGCAAAATATAAATATCGAAGAGTAGGTGGAATTAATGTGATCCTCAAATTTATCAGCTCTTTTTGTAACATTCTAAGATCATTTGATAGTACTGTGAATTCCTCAAAATAAATAAGTGAATTGGGCTAGTATGCAGTTCATCATGCAGTATTTACATACGACACTAGCGTTTACTGTGTTGAGTGCATCTGCTTATCCACTAAAACTACTCATGAAAGAAAAACAAGATGATTTCTCTGCCTGGTTTGGAAAGATCAGGTCCTTGGTTTCTATCATATTACCTTTGTCCATTAAAGTATCAACTACAATGCAGTGTTGTTGTTGTTTTTTAAATGTATTTTCCTCATTCTAGTTACTAACCAGTAACAGATACAATATTATCTAACATGTCAGAACCATGAAAGTTTCTCCTGATAACACCAAGCTTTGGCACTATGGGAGCAGTCAAAGATGTTCTGGTGTTCCTGAAGGGACTTCCAATTCTTGCTGCTTCTCCTCCTTGAGAGACACAGCCGAATCACTTAACAGCTCGGGGATTAGCTCCCAGCCAAGGTCAGTGTTAGCACAGGGATATGGAACATCCCGAGAGCTCATTAAATGCAGCTGAGCTTGTTTAGGATCAGCACTTTATAGACAAACTCTGCTAAGGAACAGAAAAATGACGTGCTGAGGGGCACAGGATGCCCTGCGTAGGTAGCGTTTGCTCCTGGGCTTCAGAGGCCTGAGCAATGCAGGTGAAATAGGGCTGGCGTCTGCAGGAAAGAAGAAGATCTGCTGTAATGCTCAAGTGGAGACAAACAGGAGCCTTCGTTTAGATTTCTCTGGCTTCTGTTAGGTACGACTCGTCTAAATCATTTTTATTACAAGT